AAATTACAAAACCCTAAGAAATTGAAAGACGTACTCTTAGCTTGTGAGACTAAGCTAGTGAGAGGAGGGGATAGTGTTATAGTACGTGAACACGCCAAGTACCGACAGGCACTACAGAGCTGCCTGGCACTCTGCGAAGGAACTATGACAGACTTAGACAGGACTGGACCCTGAACTACACACATGGTCAGACCTAGACAACGTAATAATCAGAGGTGATCAGGGTGAGCACTCATGAGCAATGATCAGAGGTGATCAGGATGATCAACTCTGAGCACGAATCTTCTAGTCTATATAAGCACGCTCATTTCCCAGATAGTTTCATAGTCTTCGTAGTCAACTCATGTTATCAGCTCATACCTAAGTTGAAGACATTCTAGTATTGTTCACTGCACTTCCTGTTCTACCCAACCAACTCTTTAGACCCAGCTTCTAGTTGAGACTTGTCTTAACTAGTTGAGCCCTAATATAACCCTTAATTAGCCGGGTTAGCACCTTTAGAGGAGGATGATAAATATTAATAGCAGGGTCATCCTTTATAATATCTCTTTACTCGCGAATATTAGCTATATTAAGCTTTAAATAGCCTATTCAAGAGAGATTATAGCAATAATAACTATTATTTAGATAGTTAGGTTAATTATACTTGTGCTGACGGCCAATCTTAATAGCTGGGTTTGGTATAGCAGCGTAGAAAGCCGCCTTGGCTGCTTATTAACGTATTAAAGTACTCTCTTATAGCTTCTTCGATTTTGAAGCAGTTTTAGCCTCACTATAAGCTCGTTTATAAGAACTCACAGGTGGCAAGTCCCCCTCACTGTATGTAGAAACGCTATCTTCGTCAGGCTGATCTTTGGCCTCAAAATTTGCGATCAGAGCAACGCGTAAAGAAGCTTAAGATGCACGGTTATAAGCTTTTTGTAGCTCTGCTACTATTCTATCAACGCGATTCATATCTAGCCTGTCTTTAATAGTATAGAGTCGAGGCTTTTGCTGGCCTATCTTGATGCTTGCTTCAAAACTAAGGTATTCAGCGTCCTTTTTCTGCTTATCAGCAGCTTTAGAGGCACGATTTTGAGCTTCTGATTCGAAACGCTCGAAAATGAACCTCTCGGATTCAATAGAGGTATTGTATATCCCTCTCTTGCCTAGCATAACGCTTAACTCTATAGTATAGGACGAATCTCTAGTATTGCTCTTCAACAGAGTCTCCTGGATCTCCTTCTCGATCTCCTCTGGCTCAGCCTTATCCTGCGCGTTTTCTTCGTCTAGAAATTCAAGCTCTGAGGAGGGTGGAGCAGTTGATACATCCTCTTGACGGCGCAAAGAGATAGGCTGCGTTGATACAGCTCTTTTACGCCCTGCTGGCCCTGCTGGCCCTGGAGAACCCTTTTCGGAGGATCTCTTAGAGCCCTGAGATGCTACAGACTCCTCTCTAACCCTCAAAATCACCTTCTGCGCCCCTGTTGACTGTGCAGAGGCTGGCGGGGTATCTCTATCTGCGTCATCAAGGCGCCGTGGGGCTCTCCCTGCGGTTGAACGCTTCTCGCGATTCAACACCATGGTTTTCTATCTCGAAATTTCGGCAGCAAGGTCACAAGAGAGTCAATTTTACTATCTGGGCAATTTTGGGCATTCTACTACGATAATTAGGTGGTAAATGGCCATCCTCTGCCCACACCGCAATTCTGCCCCGCAGCGCCAGCAATTCGAGGGTAGCGCCAAGGAATTGCAACACTTTCGCAATGCACAGTATGTCATCGCGCCTCGGGCCCGCAGGGCAGACACAGCTCAATCGCGGTCCGCCAACGAATAAGCCTTGGTGCCTCAACTAATTGCTGGTGCATTAGCCAACAATACGTAGTACTGGTAGTTCTGGTAGTTCTGCAGAGACCAAAATAATAGCATACAGTTCACATTGACTTCCGGCGCAACATCAGAGCACACGTCGGTAATCATCCGGTTTGCTGTAAAGCAATCACAAGGGTCGATACTTACCGTCTGCTTAACTGTGTACATCCAGGGCAGCAGACTTTGTCTAACCACACTGGTAGACTCATTGTCCTTTCTAACAGGATAATCGTGAAAACCTCAGGTGGCAAGGCAATACACAGGTCATGTCAACGATATGACTCAGGTCTAAGACGTACCAGGCTCACAAGCAGAACCTCAATCTAAGCAAGGACATGTGAAAAGACGGTGCATCCACTGTTTGCTCTGCTACATCTTTCCAAGGAAGATGTACCCCTGGGATGCTATCTTTTCGAGCCTTCATAACCACAATGCCAACGATTCAAATTGTCGAACAAGGAGCTCACGTGTTGTTTGCGCGACAGGCCCAAGGCGAAGATGCACCAGCTGAGTTGGAATGGCGAAGTAGTGAATTGAGCGCTACGAATCTTGCACATCTAGGTAGGATGAACTTCTCTTGCAAACAGCACTACTAAGCTGACCAAGTCCAGACGTCCCGGGTAATTGCTTCATGTAAGTAATGCCGAGGTGAGGATCAGGGTGTCTCTGATAGAACTTTTAAGATTTGCGTCCTCCAACGTGTACATGCAATCAGAACATCTTCGCCATGACCTATCTCGTCATTTTCAGATACCAGATTGGTTCTGGGGTGGACGGTACCTGTCGTCCAATGGAAGCTTTGGAAGTGACGAAGTCTACGACAACGATACCCAGGCTTACACACCTCGTAAGCTCCTACCCCAAGCGGCATGACCTCCATTGCATGAACCTACATTGAAACAATATGCAGAAATTTGGTCGCAATATTTAGTGAAGCAGCTGGAGCAAAACACTGGCTACAAGCATCATGGCTATGTGTGGTATTCTATTAAGATCTTTGCATTCCAAAATGCCTCTGGTAAAACGAGTGTGCTTTGTCTTGACACCCCAGATCGTTTCCGTCTGCGGCTTCTTGAAAGTCTGAAGTCTCGTGGTTGGAGATCTGATGATCCAGATATATACCAATTGCACACATTCCTCCTTGACCAGATCATAAACCTTTACGATGAGTCAGTATGGGCACTACGGGACCTTGTGCGAAACTTAGAAAGAGTAAGTAGTTGCTGTTGTGCAGGCAAATTTGTGGATGGTCTGACAATTTGCAGGGACGAACTGGAATCCGTCACGTTGAGCCCGACTTTCCTGTTCTTCATGATATTGCCAGACATGCAATCCATGTATCAGAAACCCTCGATGTTGCGATTGAAAACATGTCCAGCATGCTTCGGCAATACACATCTTTTCCAGAGGACCGATCATTCCAATCTGCGGAGGAAAAGACGAAATCCAGGCGGACGACTCAATGCTTCAACTTTCAAATGCAAACGCTCAAAGGGCTCAAAGCACGATCAGCTTCGAATCAAGCTAGAATGCAGAACGAGATCACCTTGGTTTGAGCACTCTTATGCAACAACGTTGTCACTAGACTAACCGTGCCTCAGGCGTTTAATCTTGTTACTCAGCGTGACAGCCAGGTAGCACTCAGCATCAGTGGAGCTATGCGCAGTGACAGCACTGCAATGAAAACGGTCGCCATACTCACCTTGACTTTCTTGCCAGCAACCTTTGTTTCGGTAGGTACTCAAGAGGGACATTCCCCTTGTCTTCGGAAGCGGAACTCTGCGTTTTACTTACCATACCGCAGGCAATTTTCAGTACCAGCTTCTTTGACTTCTCTCCACCCGCCCAACCAAAGACTGCAACTTGGACCGTTTCAAACAAATTCTGGATCTATTGGGCATTTGCTGCTCCTCTTACTGTTGCAACAGTTGTTTCCTGGTTCGTCTGGCAGCGTTGGTACATAAGGAAGTCTGCTCAAATGCATGCTTGAAGAGACGCTTCGTTATAGCTCTGTCTAGCTAAGTGGAGCTCGGAGAAAAGGCTTTGATGACAGCTGAAACCATGACCGTCTCACCATTAGGTAGCAGCATCTACAGCGTGTGTGGCGCCAATTGCCAGCCCATTCAAACCAAACTTCTCACTTACTTTCGGATCTTTTCAAAACTCAATTTACAGTTTGCCCCAAGTACTACGTGGTGAAAGCGTGAGAACTCCCTTGCCAACAGTTATGCGAAAGTCGAGGGGATTACCCCCACATATTCCACTCTAACTTACGTGAGATCACCAAGCGTGCTTACTTAGTGGAGTGCTGGGCCAGATTAGAGTTTCAAGAGCGAAACTCGCTGTGCTCCCATTAACTGAACTTGCCGGTACAAAGTCACACTGCTGATGGATAGACCAGAACCCTCGTACAATCTCCTAGAACACCAGGCACATAAATGATGACGTTTAAATTTCTGAAGCTACTAACACTTGGCCCAGGGTTGTGTCAAACGTCCCGCGTCCCTGTCCGTCCTCCCGTGCACTGGAAGACCGAAATTCAGAAAAAAGCCGTTGAGATCTGTTTCCCTGCATATTTGGTGATCAGTGATCTGTAAGAGATGGGTCTCAGCAAGGGCAGGGGAAATCTGAATCTGCTATCGACCCCCGTATATGCTTCGATCTTGCATTGATTTGTGACACGGAACAAGCTCATTGAGATCTTTGTGTGAGAAGGAAAAAATGCTTGTATTTGGCTTCCCTAGTGGCACTCTCCCAGTTTATGTGATGATATTGTGCTCGAGAAGAAGAAAGTGTCCTCTCCTTCAGTGATCGCCCAGTTCGACCCATTTGTTCCACAAACCTCCATATTCAGATCTACTTGTTCAATTGGACTACTATCATCATAATGACCACCAAGTCAAGCTAGGATACACCATCATGCAGATTCTATCTCTCTAAGAACCAGGCCCTGCTCTACGCAACTCATCACCACTGCTAATCTTACAGAACGACCTTGGCTACAATGCCTGACGGACGTGATCGTTGTCCTACAATATTGCCAGCGCCACATCCTGGGACCCGTGGGTCAACGTTCGTAGACCCAAGAGACGTGGGTATTGATCCGGACACAGGGATTAGTACGAATACCAACGCGCACAGCGACCCAACCCCAGCACGCAGGAGTGCTCGGCAAAGTCGACGGTCAGCCAAAAGTAGCCCTTCTGCAGGAGCGGGTCCATCAACAGAAGCGGGTTCTTCAACAAGAATAGGTCTATCAGCAGGAGCGAGTCCACCGGGCGCAGCGGGACCATCAGGGGCAGCAAGACCACAGCCAGCACTACCCGACATTCCAAGACGGCTACACAGAAAAAAAGCTCGTACTAGGGCGGAACCGTCACCAGGAGCGGGACCGTCAGGAGCGGCAGAGCCACAGCCAGCAATACCCATCATCATCCCCACGCCCCGACCAGGTCGTCGTAAGCGTCGCCCAGAGGGGCCTGCCATTGTCGAACGCCCGCACAGTGTACCCCAGCCTGGTCTAGATGAGCCGATCGAAAGATCCCCTTCAGTAAAAGCGCGTAGCCAGCACCGTGCTCCAGCCAGCGGATCGACCACTCCGCTCCTACCCGCATACACGAGAGGTCGGCCCGCAGACCCTTCCAGCCGCTGGGAATCTATGCTCGTTGAACAAGCGCAAGAGGAGGAAAAGATATTGGAGAAGACGGTGGTAGAGTTCATCCGGCTCGATAAAGGCCAGCCGTCGTTGGATCCAGCGTATGATGGCTTGAACTGGGGCGAGACGTTCAACGCTGCTTCCGCGACTTTGGAGCATGCGATGCGTAAGATTTTGTATTATGAACGGGAACTTCGCCTTTTGGGCGTCTCTACGCGTTCTCCGGGCCCGGACAGATTTCGACTTCACCGTATACCGTCTCGCCTGCATCTGCCTGCTCGGGGAGACCGTGGGCCTTGCGTTGAGTATCGCAGACCTAGGAGCCCGGGAGGTGATAGGGGTGCTGGTGCTGGTGCTGGTGCTGATGGTGGTATTGTTGGGGGTGGTGCTGCTGGTGCTGGGTAAAACCCCAGGGGAGCTACACCTAGGTAGTACGCTTTAGAACCGAAGCGTTGGTGACAGATTTCATGGCCACCCGGGCAAACTCAAGTTGTCAGAATCGTTGGGATATTTTAGTTATTTTGCTGTGCTCATTTGGCTCTTGTCTCCCATATCAGAAATTCATTAGCCAGACGGCAATGAAATCTGTCGCCGTGCCTAGAGCCTTCCCTACCCGGTGTACGGAGCTGACATACAGCGCGATGCTAAGTTGCTCTTTCACTCGATCGGGAGCTCTTCTTCGGTCACACCAGCTGAACATTTCAACCTCGAGATGAGAGAAGCGGAGGAAAACCGTCTTGCTATCATCAGTCAAGAAATTTGCCTCGATGCAGAACAAGGAAAGGGAACAACCATCAAGTAGAGACTAACAAAACCTGCCATCCTCGGATCACGCTTTCACAGGTGCTGGACTCATGCTACACAAACGAGCAAATCAGCTCCCTCCCGCCTTCTTCTCAGACCACTTTAGTCATGGCAACCAATGTACAGAAGATCTAAACAACATCATGTGTGTGTAAATATGACACATGTATATAGCTCATGCCTCGTTGAATTGAATATCATCTCCCTTTCGCGTTTGATATTCCCAGATCTTTTGAACAATATAACACACCGCGTAAGAATAGGAATACCTCGAAAACGTCTCTGCTGTCTCCGCGTCTTCTAGTGATTGCTTCCTACCACGACAGCTGAAATTTATTTGGACCCAGCATGGCCATAATTGAAATCATTGTGAATAGAACTTCATGCCGTCGCGAATGTATTGGAAATTGGTTTCCTTGAGCTTTTCCGGCTCCTGGCTCTGAGGTAACGTAAGGAGGTAGGAAAGAAGGTGGGCTGATTGGGAAGTTGGGTTGAGTAGGATGGCTTGCCCTGAAGGGAATTCTATGTAAGCACTGACAACAGGATCTGTATCGCGCAGATCGACCTATGTTCGAATGGTGAGTTTGGTGCTCACGCTGGTAGAGCTGACTATTGTGAACTGTTGAAATACAGGCACCTCGACCGTGTTATACAGAGAAGATGGTGGAAGGTGCCCAGAAAGTTGACGATGGACCGCAGCTCGGACTGTTGATGTTTAGACCTCACAAGCGACGAGACATATGAATCCCATTGAACAACGAGGCCAATAAGCAGTAGAGAATTGCTTTGTCTTTCATCTAGGGAGCAAAAATATTGGATTTTGAATGGATGTACGTGGAAGCCAAGGAGACGGTAGATAACTACCAGATTCAATCTGATCTCCGGTTCGTGCCGAAGTATTGGTTCGGTCAAAAGTTTCTCCGAGCCCAAAGCTTACCAAGGAATGACAATCAAAATCTGGTCTGGCCTCAACGACCTCACACAAGGCAAATGGCAAGTTTGTGGATGCATGGGGGATGGCCGTATTATTGTGAAGGCCCTATTCTAAGCACCAAATGAGATGAAAAGATGATCTGGAAGACTGGGGAAAACAGCTGGTGAGCCTGTGGGATCAGACTTACGCTGTATCTCGGCGAGGATTACTCGTACAGACTGAACATACCAGGAGAAAGGAGCAGTGTGATATTTGCTAAAGGGAGACGTCCACTCCTATTTGGCGTCCGAGATCTCATAATTGGCGATAGCAGCCTGGGCCCTGGGAAGAATGCCAATTGAATCAATGACTGGGCAACTGATCCAGCTTGCGATCGTTTGTTGAAGCGCACCCTTCCGCCCCACTTTTATTCGCACAGGCGGCCTCTTGTGCTTCTTTCTTTTCGGGTGATACACTATCTCTATTCCATCCCAGCACACATTCACCCATGTTGTTCCATGCGGAGACCTTTACCGATTCTGACTGCCAACGTGCTAGGGGGGTTGGGTCCGCAAGGGCTGCTTGCAGTTTGCGGAGATTGTCGTGTTTGAGAGAGCCGGCATCAGATATTCTTGGTGTGATGATCTCTGATCGATCAACGCGAATGAGGTGGTCGGCCGTGCTAGAATTGGCACAGAATGAATTTGGTGCACCGGTGACCTCAGCACCAGTCTGGCGAGGGTCGGGGCCATGCTTCATGTCCTCTTTCTCAATGCTACCAACAGGTCTGAGAGTCTGCTCCTCCGGACTGTCGGGCAAACCGAGCTGCCGGTTGGCTTGAACGAGCTTTGTGTGGTGGACGTGCTGTAAACCTGATTGCTCCATGCCTCAGCTTTACAATAGAGACGTGGTACTTTCTCAAGTCAGCACGAATTTCCCGAAAACAAGAGTTCTGGTTTCATGGTCACGGACTTGATGATCATTTCCAGAGCAGATAGAATATGCAATTTTCGAAGCACAGCAGAGTGTGGACTCACCAGAATTTTGCTCAGGCAAGAGGTGCAACAAGGTCTCAAGGAAACCCGTAAACAGCTCGGACAACCAAGAAACTCAAAGAGTGAGAAAGTTACCGTTTGAAAAACGAAAAGAGCTCCGGCCTGAACAGGTTTGATCCACAACCTTTCGCATGAATGTGACCATTTCTAATTCCCTAATGTGGTAAGGTCACAGATACTACCGTTGGGCTCCCTGCTCATCAACGAGCGCTCGGGCGGAACAGGTTCTTATGGGGATTGTTGGACCACGTCATCATTCACTGTCTAATGTTAATGTACCTAGGCCTGCGCTTTTTCTTCAATTCCTGGTCTTGGAGCTGGAAGTCCGCAGAAATTGGCCACAAAGTAAGATATTCCATCAGAAACCCTACTGACTGAAAGGGTCTCCACAAAAGAGCATGGACCGCACCAATCACGAAGCCTGCAGTATAGCATCCTCCATCAGTGATTGGTTTTTAGCCGATTGGCAGCAACGCCGTGCCGAAACTCAAATAACATGCCATCGAATCATTCTAGCCGCTAGAACATAACCAGTAATTGGATCTTACGATCCCAAGCTGTGCTGATCCCCAAGCTGTGCTGGTTCCCACAACATCACGGCTTTTCTGAGCTCAAGGCCATATCTCTGCACACTTTTTGGGCACCATAGACGAACTCAGAACCTTTCCGCAGATGCGGCCTGCGTCTACATCTTCAATGCCCATCTCGAACACACTTATACGTCTAGCGAAGATTTGGGGTAATCTCTGTTCCCTGTTATTGAAGTTCAATTTGTTAGTTGGACTCCTAAATCAACTTACGCCCCTCGAGTACAACCGGGGGAATGGGGAAAGCACAAAGATGAGTTGCAGAGAACGCAAGGCGAAGGTAAAACCATGGCGGAAATGCTTGCAGTATTGAAGGAGAAGTACGGGTTCTCGGCCAAGTAAGTAGTGCGTTTTCCGCCCAGAACGTGAGGCTTTGCTTCCTATCTTTGTAGGCCTCATCAACAGTTCCAAAGCTAATGAGGCAATGTCTTGACTTAGACTAGGTCAGCTTCAAAGGCAACTGAAGTCTTGGAGTTCTCTCGCAGCTGCAACCAACGCTTCGCCTGGTACAGTGCAGCACACCACGAGTCAGCCAGGAGCGCAACCCACAAGGCGCAAGCGAGGTCCTCCTTCTATAAATGTAGGCGGTCGCAGCCAACGCAGCCCATCCCCTGTACGGCTCGCTGACCAGCCACAACATATCCTCTATCCATGCAACACAGCAAATCCTAAAGACGCTGCCAAATCCCCTGGAGTGCAGCTGCACGGGTTGGCATCCGCTGCATCATCTTCAGCTGTCACTTCCACTGCCCAACACCGACCCTTCGACGAAGATGGCCCATCGTCGCAGGCAGACCTGACGGGTCACACAGAAGTATGTCGAATGACCACCTCTACAGACTCTGGTCCTTCAGGGAAGTCAGAGAGCAATGCTCAGGTGCACGAGTTTCAGTGCTCTATTGAGCGTCAATATCTGAAGGATTTCTTGCAGTATATACGTGGGTTGATGCGTGATCTTGAAATCATCCGAGATCTAGAGCCGCACACAACCACGACCACTAATAGCGATAACAACGATGACGCTGGTAGGGAAAGTGCACAGTCGAACTTCGGATGCCCCGTCCATTTGATCTCCAGCAAGACAAGAATATGCTGCAGCAAGACCGGAGACGCAACTTTGCTGAGGCGGAGCATTCCAAGCCCGCTGCTGGATCTGCTCATAAGACCAACAGCACCAAGCAGCGTTCTGACAACCCCTGGCCACCGGCGACAATTCTAGCACATCCCACAAGTCCTTACGATCGGGTGAACCGGCAACAATGGAGGTGCGCCTCGCCAACTTTGTTCTCCATCGCTCCCTCATCCATCAGCGGAATGAGCACAGTGAAGTCCACCGCGCGCCGTGCAAAACGTTGCTGCTCAGTCGAAATTGGTCGAGACAAGGAGAACAAGGCGACCGCCTCTTTATCATCTGCTTTTACGAATAGACGGCACTCAATGTCCCCGTCGAATTTCAAAGACGTCACCGGCATGTCTTCTTGTCCGAGCGATGACAACCCAAATGTGGATGACGTAGACCTCTGTGGTGACGGTGCCATGATGGAGGAGGGCTGCTTGGGGGTTCGATAACTCCTTGGAGGTGTAAAGTTTGTTTGGCTGGAAGCTCGGTGAATGGGGAACTTGCATTCCCCTCTTGACACGTTGTAGACATAGACTTTTTTGCTGTGGTTCCGTCCGCCTAGGGAGGGGGACGGGAATTGGAAAATCCACCCTACTTACTAGTACAAGTGTTGGTGAAAAAGAAACAGTGCTCTCATAACGATCGCGTCCCTGGATAACATCCCAAGACTTACTACGGTACTGGGCATAAATATTCGTAGCACAGCGCTAGTATATTTGCACCAAAACAAGCTTTGAACCAGACATCTAAGCCTTGAACAGTTAGCGGTACTGGTGTGGCTAATTGATATGAACAATGACCAAAGAAGCTTCTAGGTATTGATGTGGCGCTGTATCTGAACTAGCTGCTACTAGCGCCGTGCTACGACTACTTATGCCCAGTACCGTAGTACGTAGTAGTTACGGAGTACCACCTTAACTTTACTCGTACTAGTTCCTGCATTTCCTGTTGGGATTGCCCGTACGCGTACAGCCAAATCCTTGGCGCTGTGTGTCACATGACTGCGTACCCGCCACTCCGCGCAGTAGTATTAGCCTCTCCTCCTTCTGAGATGATTTCTGCAGGTAGATAGAATTCAACTCATCCACTTCATCATTTCCTGTCGAATAGAAGAGTCAATCGTGCACCCAGCCCACTCCATTTTAGCTAGCCGCTAGCCATCTACCGGCTATTATATCGCTCATGTCCCCCCCCCTCTAATCCAACGGGAACAAGACAATCAATTCGCCAGTGCCTGGGTATCGACATCGACTCCAAGAAGTCGCATCCATGATTAAAGCCCGATTTCCCAATTTTTCGTTGCCCTCCCTTCTCAAGAACGATAACTAGTCACTTAATCTAGATCGAGACCATGTTTGCTGTAGAGTTACAGGAAGTGGGATCCGATCAGACTCTCTGTTATTCCGGAGAGTGAGTGATGGGAGCGAGGATCTTGATGTGGTCTAGATAATCGACTCCATTTTCTATCGTTGGAAGATGGGGATGCTCACTCCTACTGGACTTCTTGGTCAGGGCAAGGAATTGGGGGGAGGGTTAGAGACCGGCGTTCTGGTATACTGCCTCGAGGTACATGTTGGGGGGATCACATCGTATTCGAGCCCATCTGGCTCATCACCAAATATCCCAAATTCGAAGGGTACACTGTATTCAAGTGAAAAGGGGTTTCGGATGATTTTCCGTAACCTAGCTAGCTAGCTAGCTGGCTGGCTGGTAATACTGGGGTGGAGATGAGGTTCGAAAGCTCGCACACCTCCGCCAGCTTGCCCAACCCGAAAGAAGCTTGAATACTTTTTTATTTTGCTCTGCGCTTGATTGTCGTTCCGACGTTTCACTGCATAGAGAAGAAACTCTCACTCCACCCCTGAATGATCGACCTCGCATAACACGCTACCCAGACGCCATCAGCCCAGACGGAAGAACCTCAAACCGAATCTCATCACACTGCCTTTTACCGCTGCACACACGCTTGCAGGTAAGTTTTTACAACCTTCAAATCCATGGCGAAGCCAGTCCCGTCAACCGGTCCCCATGGGCACCTTCCCACAGCCCCAAGATCTCATTCACGTAATCGTCCGCACCAAATCTGAGCAAGCCCTTCATCTTCATCTCCTGCTCTTCTTCTTGCAACAATGCCGAGACACCACCAAATTCCTCGGCCACTTCGTTGACCTGGGCGAGCTCATTGCCAAAGGGATGATTTGGATCGACGGCTGCGGGGCTGAACATGTCGGCGCTGTTGCGGACCATTGTCGCGTTGTCCATGATTGTTGGAGGTGGGGTGAGCCGAGACAGAGAGCGGTTGCGAGCGACTTCTTGATGGGCTTTCTTGGAGTGAGTGAGAGCGCGTTGCGGGAGGGCGGGTGCATCGGTGCTTGATTGGGTTCCGTTTGAGGCTCGGCCTCGTGCTGCTGTGGTGGCAGATCTCTTGGGCGAAACGGCGTCGAAGAATCCTTTGCCGTGACGTGGTTCTGGTGTGATGGGTGAGGACTCGATGGAGGAATTGTCAGCTGACGTTGCTGGTGTGCTGAGAAAACTTTTGCAAATGGATGAGAAGTCTGAGTCGTCTGCCGAGCGGAAGGACGCATTGGATGAGTTACTTGAAGCAGATCGGATGTCTGGAGCGCTCAGCGCATTAACATTGGTGGTAGAGATTAGCTCTATTGGCAGTGAGATCTTGGAGCGTTCGATGGTGCCTGCCGGGAACCTGAAGGAGCCTTCACTGGGCGAAGAAGCTTCATGTTGTCGCTTTGCGCGTTTGGTTAGAGCTCTTGCGAGAGCCATGGTGGAGGAAGACATCTAAGTCGAAAAAGGCTGAAAGAAGGCGCTGTGCTGCGCTAAATTTGGGTCTGGAATTGCGGTATTCTGTGTGTACTAACGTCGAGTAGTTCTAGACGCGCTTGGTGTGACTGCTGTCAAGTAGTTGAACTGCATGCAGTTTGACTCTGCCGTATGAAAGGAGTGATGTGAATTTGTGGTGAATTTGTGATGAATTTGTGATGAATAGTGGACACTGTACTACCTGGTCGGTTTGACGTGCTTATGAAAAGAATGGACTGGACTGCCAGTGGTTGTCATAAAAGAGCGAACAATTAATCCACTTGACAGGAACAAAGGAGTGTTCAACGGTTCAACGGTTGACGAGGATCGACCTGCGTTTGAAAAGAAGGTGTTGTCGATGGAGGTGAGAGAGAAGGTGAAAGGAGGGTGGGGATCTGTGCAATTGCTGAGAGAGCGAGCCCGTTTGGGAGGGAGACAAAGCATTCGGGTGGTGTGTGATGGTGTGAGTGGAATACTAGTACGTAGTCAAAGTCTAATCAGCGCTATTGTCTTGATTAGGAGACCTCCCTCACTGAATTGTGTGACTTTGCAACGATTGGTCCAACGTGATTTCAATGGCTTCAGGCAATCGGGGCATAAGGGGGAAATGTGGAGTCTTTTGCAGCCAGACGGATACTTTGGTGCCTAGATCCAGGCACCAGATCCAGGGGAACTTAGCTACATCTGGTTGGTACTTGTGATCAGCTTGCTAAACTACTGCCGCCAGCCCTGTTCCTGTCGATCTCCATCCAATCATCAGGGATGATCCACGTGGTGTAACTTAACTTAACGCAGTACTACGTGGCGCCGGATCTACAAGTGGTTGAAACACGACCCCTGCCTGCTCAAGCGGGAAGCTCTTGTTCTTTGTCCTTCTTGTTGGATATCCCAGATCAAGGCTGGTGTTCCCTCTTCAATGCTCAATAAGTAGCAGCAGTCATCAGTCGTCGACAGAAAACCACATGCTATCTTTTGGTCTGGAGGCATTGTTTCAACTGGTGAACTCGTCCGAGGGCCTTATGGCCAACCCAATTAGGACTTCCGAACAACCCATGTTGCAGGATAGTGGCTATCATTGAACTGCGTCGACAGCTTTCCTCATGCCAGTCGCAGTATAGACGCAGGAAACCCTGAGCTCCTAAGTTAGTTCATCCTCTTTAATCTTCGTCCATGGACTCCCAGCCTTGTGCCTCCTCTTCACCATTTTCAACCTCGTCCGCCTCCTCTTCTTCCTCTGAGTCGCCTTGGTCATCAGCAACGCCAACAAATCTTTCTTTCACTTCTCCATCTGGCAATGCGACTCGTCCTGCAAATGTTCTTCTCACTGCGCTATTCGTTGACGTATCCCATATCTGAATGGCACCCTTACTGCCTGCTACAGCGAGACGAAAACTAACCTCCTGGTCCGGTGCGAATCTCGCCGAGAAGACCCGGCCAACCTCAAGATTCCTTGATACGACCATGCTCGGCTTGTTGTTTTGCACATTCCACAGCTTTACCTGCTTGTCATCAGATCCAGTTGCCAGAAAGTCCGGAATTGTTGGGTTAATGTCCAGCGTTGATACAGCCCCATCGTGTGCTTGCAAAATCCAAACAGGCTTCGTAATCCCATCTTCCGAGGGTACAATCCTAGCATCAAAATAGTAGACTGTTCCCGCCTCAGTGGTGGCATAGAAATAATTCGGATCATGCGGATTCCATCGGATCTGCTCAACATCGGCATCCGCTGTCCATCGCGGAGCCTTGGCATCTGGTGCTCTCATGTCAGTAACCACTACAGTTCGATCATAGCTACCACTTAGAAGTACTGTCGACTGTGTTGGGTGCCAGTCTAAAGAGCAGACCTTGTCTTTGTGCATGGAGTATGATTTGGCGCATTTTCCAGTGTTCAAATCCCACAACTTGACCGTCTTGTCGGCAGAGGCCGACGCAAGCAGGTTTCGATGTTGTCGATTCGCAGCTAGTGAAAGGACTGCATCAACGTGGTACTCATCGTTTGCTTTGAGCTTCTTCTTTTGCTTTTTCTTCTTCTTGGTAGCCCCATTCCCTTCTCTGGCCTCCTCGGGCTCCTGGCCCAAGATGGCGTTGGGGTACATGCTGTCAACCACATCTAGATCCCAGATCTCGATTTCCGGTCGCATAGTCGACACCGCAACAAAATTCCCCGTTGTTCTCCCCTCAGAGTTTTTACCTACCGGAAGGTCTATCCATTCGACACATAGTGGTACCGCTGGCAGCATGATATCGTGATGTACGTAGAGATTGTCTGCCTCGTCCTCGTACACCATGACCTCGAGATGTGCGACCTCATCTTCGACCTTCGCAGCCAGTAGCAGGTTATCTGTTGCCAGTATCTGTAGTTCCTCTCTTTCTTCATCGTCCTCATCCTCTCCTTCTGGTAGAACTAGGTATGGATCTTCTTCGCTGGGTGCATGATACGCCAATGACCTCACATTCCCAAACATTGAGAACTTCTCCCCTTCATCGTCGATAGGTTCGGTGTCGTAGTCGTCGAGATTGTACTCTTTCAGGTCGTCGTCGTTATCGACCTTGTCATCCAACACCTTGACTCCGCCATTCTCTTGGACTCCTCCTTCACTGTCATCACTCTCCTCCTCTTTCCCTCTGTCAGACTTCTCGTGCGACGTGGTCAAACCCTCCTGGGCATCCTCAAGCTGCAGGCGAGCAAGTTTTGAGATGCGCCCAAGCTCGGCTTCGTCGATTTCGTACTTTCTAGGGAATGGTGCAGCAACTCCACGGCGCACCCAGGTGGTCGCCAAGACCATAGACATTCTTGGAAAACTTGACTCGATCTAGTACGGTGCGTCCATGATATGAGCCTATTTACAATGAGTGCGGCAAAAACTGCGTGGCTGTTCAGACAATTTTCTTTGGATCGGAGCTTAATTCTTATTTCCGAGGGCTTGTGGGGAATAATATCTGCTCGAAGGCCCTTCGGCCCCACTCACCTTACTACGTACTATATGCCGCCTCAGGCTAATACCAGTCTGCGGCCTTTGCTTGTGGGAAGAGCCGAGTTATGGTTACGTGTAGGAGCACTGTGTACACAGCTACTGAGACTGCGGGAAATCTATATGGCATGTTTACCATAGAATCCAATCGTACAAGGAGAGTCCTCTGGCAAGCGCGTCAGTAGGTCCATTTGATGCTTTGCCAACGAAAACATCTCATTCGATTCCCGTCTCTTTTTTCCGCTTTCTGTCTGCATATTTGTACCAACAGAACCACCCAGTCATGACCGCCAATGTCAGAGGTACGGTGATCACCCAGTAAAGCCAGAATTGCGACGAGACTGTGCTTCTGCCCAACCTTGAAGTATCATCCTGCCAGTGGAACATGCCCGTGCTGAAAAGTGTGGCAATGGACGTTCCTGGCAGAAATATTGCGGTGATGAAAGTGAACGCCATCACAGCTATGCTGTCCTTCTTGGTAGAAGAGGCGATCTTGATGCTTAACTCGTTTTGCGCTTGGCCAATTTCGTTCTGTTTATTCGCGAAGCGGTTGTACTCTAATGCATTGGCGTTGTCCCTTTGGCTAACAGCGCTGAAGAGCTTGAGCCGATGTCAGTCTGATAGCATATAACCAGCAAAATTCAGAGCCTACCACGTTGATCTGAGCCTGTACTCTCTCCTTGTAGCCGCGCACAAAGCGCGCTGTGTTTGACATGGAACACAGCTCGTACGCCAGGTACTCGCTGAGTTCCATCGACGTACGACTCAATGCTGGAGACACTACTTCGATTTCTTTTGCGAGGTCTAAAAGGAAGCGGGTGCAGTCGCAGGCCCACTCACATACATAACTCACAAATACGATTTGCGCACTTGTAGAATGTAGCCCTATCGTCGCAGATTTGATATCTATATCGGCAGGCCACTTTTCAAGTGAGCGCCCATGCCCTGCTTTTCCGGCAAATGTGACTCCGATATCATTCTCGAGGTCAATAAGCCTTTCGTTAAGCAATCCTGTGGAGATTCCGGTTCGATGACAAAGATTCTGCAGGAGTGCAGCAGGTAAGAACAAGGGATGCGTCCAGTACTCAGTGAACGACTCAGTCAGAGCAAGGATATGGTCGAGGCGTAAGCCATAACTATCATCAATGTTCTGGCGGACCACAAATCCTCGGCCACACAAGATCGCCGTTGTCCACTGTGTATCAAAAGTGTGGCTGAGCGACAAGAGGGCGTCTGAAATTTCAACCTTTTGTGTGGCCTTTACGATCATTTTTAGGCTTTCGACCTTGTTAGAATGTGCATGTCGCTTGTATGACCTGTAATGAACACCAGCGTACTTGAACAATGATGGCAGAGTCGCGGGTGATAAGTCAAAGACCTCTTCGACGCGCTCAAAAGAGGCGTAGCTCATCTGCAAAGCTGGAGGGCTTTGCCATGGACGTTCGCACAAGAGTAATCGAAAGCCTCCGGACGGCTTCTCTCCGTTTCCAGGTGCCCCAGGATGCTCGAAAGGTCCCTTGTACATATCAGCCCGCCTTGCAACAAGCCTTCCGATTCACTGCAGATATTGCTGTCTTGCTGTAGCACATGACCTATGGCTGTAGACTTACTCGTTGCATAAGCCAGGCATCAAGTTCAGAGTCATTCAACAATGGCCCTTGTCGGAAATTCAGTGCCGTGCACGTCGTTGACATGGTCGGGTAATGCCATGCTTCAATGTAGTGGAGCCCGTGCCCCTTACCAGGAGCGTTCCACTTAGTTTCTTTAACCAGTTGCTTGCGGTTATAATGGAACATTCTTGGAGGTCAGTGACTGTGGGCCAATTCAGAATGTCAAAGCAGCGAGGAAAGAAGTGAACACTGGAGACCAGGCAATGGGAAGAGTGGAGAAGGTGTTCTGCAAGTTCTTAGCCTTAACACGGGATTTTCAAGCTTCACGTTCCCTCAAGCTGTTGCCATGCAGCTGCATTGCTCATCCGTCTGAGACCGAGGAGTGGAGATCATGTTGTTCACAGTTTTGTCAATGGATGCATCGTCTTGGGAGGCCGCGTAGGTAGTTTCTCTAGGCTCGTACTAATGCTCTTTCAGCTAAAAGTGATGCTTCTGGGCGGCCCAAGTCCTGTGATGTCATAAGTAAAGCAATTCATCCTTCTGGCGCACGCAGTGCGGTTTTATGATTACTGAGCCATTTTTATTTAATGCACCCAAATTATCCCTATTATCTAAGACTTTGGTGAGTGAACAGTGCAGGCTGTTGGCTACATATTGTTAGCGGCAATACAGAAACCATGGACAAGGACAGAACTATATAATAATGTTCCCGTTTCTTGGACAAAAGAACACTCTCCTACCCTCTTGCTACCCGAGTCTCACTCATAGTAGGAAGACCCATAGCTTCCCCTGGATGGTGAGGAAATCTGGCGTAACCTTTTCTAAGCGCGAAACCTGTATCTCGGATCCTCGTCGCCAAGCCACTCGTTCTCGGAAAGACTTTCTAACCCATGATTCTCTCTACCGCTCTCCTTGCGTTTATTTGCCTCATTGAGCACACGCCAGAGGACTGCTGTCAAGCTGACATTCAAAACCAAGTAGCCCATTGCGAAGCTATGCCCCAGGTAGAACCTCGGTGCTGTCTCCGCTCTGTAAAGTTGTGTGCCAAGTATGGCGCCTGAGGTTCCGATGCTGTTCATCATTGCGGTGGCCACTGCTCTCTTTGTCTGTCCGCTAACGTTGTTTGATGGCCATGAGAAGACTAGTGCAACGGAGGGGTAGATACCGCCAGCGGCAAAAAAGACGCCGACATAAGAAACACCCGGACGATAGTCGGTTAAGAGGATAATGTACCCAATAACAGCGAAGGAAGAACATCCGATAATAAAAGGGGCGCGTATCTGGCTGCGTTCGGACAGGTAGGCAATTGTAAGAGTAAGAACGAATGCAAAGGCATAAGGAGGTACTGTAAGCAGCTGGGCCTCGGCTGCTGTGTAGCCGAGTTCCTGTATGATAGTTGGCTGGTAGGAGACCCTTAGTGAATATTGCAGAATGAAACGCTGTTATTATGAGCACACTTACCAGAAAAAGAGTAAGTGTGTATAATGGCAGCGCGACTGTATGGAAGGAGAATCCATAAAGCCAGATCTTTGGGTCCTTGATTGCTTTTGACACGTTAGTCCAGTTGAATGCTTCATCTCGGACTGAATCATTATCTTCCTTGAGCCGGTGCTGGATGAATATTCGTTCATCTCTCGTAAGTATTCCCGCCGTGTCAGGATAGTTGAATATGAATAAATAAGCTCCAGCACCCACTGAGACCGTGAGAAGACCTTCCTATATTTGACTTATTAGTATCGTATATTTATAGTAGTGCGTTAGTCCATATATACCAGGATGAAGATCCAACGCCATCCTGCATAACCACCCACGCCTCTCATATGAGCAATGCCCCAGGCAAGAATACCACCAAAGGCCCCGGCGAGTGATGCAGCGCTGAAAAAGAGCGCAACACGAAAGTGTACTTCGTCTCTTTTGTACCACATAGATAGATAAAAGACCACACCTGCGAAGAGGCCACTCTCAGTCACACCGAGGAAGAAGCGCACGATGAAGAAGCCAATGCGACTCTGTGAGACGCCCATTAGTGTACAGACGGTGCCCCACATCAGCGTCATGGTTGGAAGCCAGAACTTCGGAGACGTGCGCTTGAGGACAATATTGCAAGGGACTTCGAATAAGACGTAGCCAATGAAGAATAGAGTGAGACTGGTGAGATACTGATTTCCGGTCATGTCAAGGTCGCTTGACAAACCCTCGAGCCGAGCGTTTCCCACTGCGCAACAAGTTAGTATATGCTATTATCAATTCTAAGAGACCTGTATCCCACCATTGCTGCGGTCGAGAAAAGAGCAGAGGTAAAGCAGAGTCACTGCAGGAAGTAGCCTTGAATCTATTTTTCGCATCAATGCCTTCTCATTGATGCTGGTAGACTCGATAGCGTCTCCATTGGAAACTGGTGTTATATCACTCTTCTCTGAGACGTGGCCGTTCTCGACAGAAAAGGGAGGAGGAGTGGATGCCATGGCAGGGAAAGGAGAATGCGTCAATAAGAATGTTCAAGGCGGAAAGATCTGAAAAGATGAAATAAGGCCAGGTAGATCTATGGTACTGCTAGAAATTCGACAATCTTCAGCCCATCATAGAACGAGGCGTGATGTGCATATATAGACCTGTACACAGATTACCTTGACGAATTTCGGCTGGCAAGGCAAAGATAACAACGCTAAGCCGAACAGCTCATGAGGTCCTGCAAGGTTTGTAATATCCTACAGAGACATACCAAGAATAGGGATTCCAAGGATGTCGGTTCCGTGTAACATAGCAAGGCGGTGAACAAACTTGTCGAATAACCCGACTTACTGACTTACCACTTTAGAACACTGGACGCGGTATGATATGAGATTCTATCTTTCTAGTGAAATGGTTGTGCAGCAAGTTTCAAGATACTTAGCAAGTGTTGTGAAGGCCGAGTTACATTGAGGTCGTGCTGGGATGGCTTTGGCTTTCTCGGGGAGTTATCTTGTACGTCCACACAAATCTATCCAGCTCCCCGAGAATCGGCCCCAGCGGCATCTCAGAAGCTCTGTTATTGCTATTCGCAGTTCCTGGACGACCGATTGCGATTTTATCTTGGGGATGACACATGGCGTTTGAGCGTTGTTTCATGAAATGAGATTTCGTAAGATAGACCACCCAGAGCCACCTAAGCAGTATAGCGAATAATACCGAGGAAGGTGATGACCATCAATCTACTACGTAGAGACAAGCCTCAAGTAAGCTCTCGGGATAAGCTTTGTTAGTTGATGCTTGGTAAAAGGCGGGTCGATAAGTTTTTACGTGGAGAAGGGCTCTGAAAATGACGCATTCTTCGTCCTCAGCAAATTAGTAGATGTTTTGTCATTACAAGACCATCAACAGGCAATCGAGTGACCATAATCTGATGGTCATATGGCCGGTTCTGAAAAAATACGTCTGAAATAACATGATTTCATTAGGTTTAGGTGTTAACTACATATTTCCATGCCAACTAGATCATATCTTGATTAGGCTTGACTTAAGCACACACTGATTGTAATTTAGACATAACTTTCAAGGGCCCCCTTCCTAGTAAGCAGCAACCTGTGGCTTTCATTGCCAAGGGTTTTCTGACGCATCGGCTCTCACTCCACTGGATTTGCATTTGTTCAAAGCTCGTCTTTACTACGTAGAATAAGTCTACGGTCAGGCACCCGGAGGAAAGGTTGGACTGGGTAGCAAAATAATTCAAAGACTCTAAGCATGCATTCTCATCTGCATACGAAAGACAACGTTGGTTAGTCATCCATCGCTCGATCATCAGAATCTCGTCTCCGCATTCGCCCTGGTCTTCTGAGCTTCGTTACGCATCTATTCGCATATAGGATTGCTCGCATGTTTGACCTTCTGATGTATTGTCATTTGACATTGCGCTGACATGTCATGCTTCACTAGGCTGCGAAGATATTATGAACGCCCTCGAGGAATGTCACAACCGAAACTTCCTCTTCAAAGCCTTTGGGGGCTGCAATCAGCTGAAAGCGGACGTGAACAAGTGTCTATCAAGCGAAAGGGGGAAAAAGGGTGTGCGCAATCGAGAGACAGGTCTTGAGCGACGGGCACGGATTGAAGCCGTGTGGCAGAAGATGGACGAAGGAGACTATTCGGCATTGGAGGAATTTACCAAACGAGGTTCGTAGGCCGAACAAATCGATTGATATCTTTGACTACCGGCGCTGGGAGTCTGGCGCATTCTGGAAAACCGACGGTATATCAGATTGCTTGTATGAACATATCGAAGGCGATATTCAACGGATGTCGTTTTTAGCTTATGGCACACCGTCAACTCGTGCAATATCATTTTCCAGTACATGTAGAGCAGCAAATAGAGTCATGATGAGAGTGGTCGACACTAGTAGTACCGAAACAATGGTTTTGCTTCTATAAAATGCACTGGTCCTTAGTCTTCCACCTGCGGTTTGACGAGGACAACCCCTGCTCTTTGTCCGCTCACGGTCTCCAACGCAATTCTTGAGCTGTGCAACGCTTGACTGCAAGACTTCTGGTATAATGAATGCCATTTAGTCCATGCAGCTAGAGGGTATCTGCAGGACAAATGCCCCACACCTCATTTGCGGCATGAAGAATGGGCACTTTGGAAATTGCCCACAAAGGCAAGCATTCGCATGCGAGCCCAGCCAGTGATGAAGATGCTCGACTCGAAGACGAAGTTGATGACTTCGGCTTGCCCAAGAACCGGCCTCGACGAGTGGATCCTGTGCATGCTACCAGTGACGAGGATGAGGATGAGGCAGCGTTCCATGACGCTGAAGATCATATAAATACCAAAGTAGAAGGTCAAGGGCTACGAACTCCTAAGCCTGCGCTACCTGACTCCAGTCAAGCTGAGAAGATCTCTGCCTCCCAAGCTTCCGCCAACGAGAAAATCGCTCAAAAGAGTACAGTGAACTCCACGCCACCCGGCTCGTTGAGTAACGGACATCACGACTATGGGAACCCACAAGTTTCGATCAGGGAAATCAGAGAGGTGGAGTCTGGATCTGAGCATAAGCCTGTGGCGGAACAGCGGTCATCTACACCTCCACAAGACTATGGCAAAGCACTTCATGGACATTCAAACTCTTTTGAGACATCACCCGCAAGCAAAATTAACACGCCACCCAGCAGCAAGACCAAACGTCCTTCTGATGCGCCTGCAGTCTCGGAGTGGTCCCACCAGCGCCTCGCACCACAGCACAGTGAGATCAAGGAGGAAGAAGATGAGGGGGACGATTGGCAAGCGATGCCTGCGCTTGCCAAGTACGATCTCTACGATGACGAAGGGAAGCTTCTTGCACGCGGCGCTGAGCCTGAGGATGAAGAGGAAGCCACTTACGGCGGACTAGGTGGTGCCGGTAAGGGATATACTCGTGTCCAGTTGGACGAGGATGCAAAATCTGCCACAAGCATGGATGAAGATACCGGGTATCTGTTCAAAGAGAGCCAAAAGCATAACGTCATGGATGATGAGGAACAGCGGGATGCAGTTTCACAATTGCAAGCTACAAAAGACCTTCTTACAGAGGGCCAAAGGATCGCGTACGTTGGCGTCACGCGGCTCACCATGTTCAACATGACGAGAGAGCTGGAAGACATTGAAGCCACACGAACGACCAAAAAGGAGCTCAGCAAAGCATTTGAGTCCATGACTAAGTGGGGTCAGCAGATGATGGTTAGGTTATACGCGCATATGGAAATCGATTCTGCAGAGCAGGTCATGATTGAGCAACTGACTGATCACGGAGTGCAACCGACGGATCTGGTACCTCCTTTAATGCAGACTTCGAGAGTGGCAAACCCGATGGCAGACACCAAAAGCCCCGAAAAATTAGCTCGGCCTGAAGATCAAGAAAGTGTGCAAGATAAATCCGAGTCAGAGTCGGCTAAGACAGAATCAGAAGTATTGCCACGCGATTCTAAGGATGAAGAACAAGTTCCAAGGGTCCACACACCGTCTCAAATGGAGAGCACAGCTAAGATTGACCTTGATCTGAGATGGACAGTTTTATGCGATTTATTTTTATTATTGATTTCAGATTCGTTATATGATGCCAGATCTCGACGACTGCTCGAACAGGTTGCAAAGGCTATGGATGTTTCTTGGACCCAAATATGCCGGTTCGAGAAGAGGGTCATTGATGCTCTTGAAATGCAAGAGGAGGCCAACAAGGAAAACTGGAACGAAGAAGAGCATATGGAGACAAGGAGAAAGCTGGGCCTCAGGAGAAAATATATGGTCATGGGACTCGCCACCGTGGGGGGCGGATTGGTGATTGGGCTTTCAGCTGGATTACTTGCACCGGTAATCGGTGCAGGTCTGGCGGCAGGCTTCACTACCATTGGTGTCACCGGCACTGCTGGCTTCCTGGGCGGTGTTGGAGGCGCTGCTCTTATCACTTCTGCCGCAACAGCCGCAGGAGGGACCATTGCTGTCAGGGCTTCCCATCGACGAACGGGCGCGGTGAAGACGTTTGAGTACAGACCCCTGCACAACAACAAACGACTCAACCTGATCTTGACTGTTTCTGGTTGGATGAATGGCAAAGTGGATGACGTTCGACTGCCCTATAGCACAGTGGATCCAATCATGGGCGATATCTACTCGCTTCTTTGGGAGCCAGAAATGCTGCAATCGATGGGTGACACCATCAACATTCTGGCGACCGAAGCATTAACTCAGACTGTGCAACAAGTACTTGGTAGCACCATTCTTGTAGCATTAATGGCCTCCCTACAGCTACCAATCGTTCTGTCGAAGTTGTCTTATCTCATCGACAATCCATGGACGGTCTCCCTGGACCGTGCTAACTCGGCAGGTCTTATTCTCGCAGACTCTCTAATTGATCGCCATCTTGGTAACAGGCCTATCACCTTGCTTGGCTTTTCCCTTGGCTCTCGTTTGATTTTCTCATGTCTGAAAGAGCTCGCGGCCCGTGGTGCGTATGGCATTGTACAAAATGTGTATCTGTTTGGTTCTCCCATCGTTGCGAAGAAGGATGAGTATCTGAGAGCGAGGTCTGTTATTTGTGGCCGGTTTGTGAATGGATATGCATCGAATGACTGGATTCTGGGTTACTTATTCCGAGCGACGAGCGGTGGTATTATGCGGGTCGCTGGCCTGGCTCCAGTAGAAGGTATACCCGGCCTTGAAAATTTGGACGTCACGCAGCTGGTCAATGGCCATATGGCCTATCGTACGGCCATGCCCAAGTTGCTTAGGGAGGTTGGCTGGGAGGTTGAGTCCGATGAATTCACCGAGATCGAGGATCCAGATCCGGAAAATCACCAAAAGCGGCAGAGAGAATTGATCCGGGAGATAGACGAAGCAAGGAAAGAGGCTGATGCCAAGCCTCAAAAGACTCGATTTGGCTTTTTCAAACGTGGAAATCTGGCAGAGAAGAAGGGCTGGGAGACTTACCAGACGAGCAACAGTTCTGGCGATCTCAGAAAGTCTACTGACGGCAGTAGTGGGCTTAACGGAAACGTGTTGTTCGACATTGAGGCGATCAGGAAGGAGCTGGAAAGCGAGATGATCGAAGTTCGGCAGCTGGAAAGTACACTGCCGCCAATACAGATCGATCTCAATGGCAGCGCAGCACAGCAAAGTCCTTACTCGAATCTGCGCCACACGAAAAGCTCGGATGCTTCGATGGGTACCGAGACACGTACAGTCAAAGAGATAGTGGAGAAGTCTCTACCTCGACCACTTCCCGAGGAGTTAGCAGATGTCAAGCTTCCACCTAGGCCTTCCGACCTCGATGATGACCATCCTAGCCCAGATGAAGAACGTGAAATTCGCATGACCTTCGACAATGCATTTGAGGCCCCACGAGAGCTGCCAAGTACTCTGGCGCCGTTGAGCGTTCGACCAGACGACAGGACGCCTTCTCCATTTGAGATACCTGAGCTGAAAACAAGTGCTACTTTGCCTACAAGCATGAGCACGAAGTTCGGCTCGTTAAACCTGGAGCATAATGCCTGGGCGGACGAAGACGAGGACTTCTCCAGGGAGAGAGAAATGAGAATGACATTCGAATGATTCGATGGTTCTTGCACGACACGAATCCTGGTGAAAGACTTGCGTTAATGGCGGACGAAGTACGTCCGCCGTCTTTTCTCTCCTTTGAGAATAGGGTCATGGTGCCGCTGCCAGGATAACTTTGGGGTCCTTGGACCCGAGCACGTATATTGGGCAGTATTCTTTGTATATATTGGCTGTACATGCCCAAGACGTAATATAGATCATGGATACCGGGTGCAGAAAGTAGTCTTCATTGTGAGCAACACCAGTACTCGTATCTTTGCCCCCACGACACGTCCGTTCGCGTTAATAAGTGAGAGCTTACTCTATAGGGTGCCTGCCAAGCGCATCCAGCTCCGACCTTGGATGGTATGCATTGGACATACAGATCGCGCACACTTCAGCAAGCTTCTACTAAGTATATCTGTTAGACAGCACTTGCGACCATGGCCAGCTTGTGATTGGATCCCCCTACTTCTTCCCGTCACGATTCTGTAAATGGGGTACCTATCCTACCGTGATCGAGTTGGGCTTCCTATACATCAAACAGCTACTGCGAGCACCAGACAATACCCCTCTTCGCAGGTTGAGCCTATAAGGGAAAGCAGGGCAAACGGAACGATGGCTGCTAGAGCCGCGGAGGCCAGGCGGAAGAGAGAAAAGAGTGTGGACATCCATGCAGAGCCATTGAGCTCGACAGACGAGGAAGAGCTGGAGAAGACACCGGAGCCTACGCCGAGGTCGAAGAGGCTACTCAATGGCATGAAGCGCGATGACGAAAAGATCAAAAAGAACCAGCAAAGCCTGAAGGAGACCAAGGAGCTGGCAGAACTGGAGAGCAGAAAGAGCGCTGGAGCGAAGCAGGCGCGAAGGAAGAAGCTGCAGGACGATCCGACGGAGCTGACACTCGTCCATGGAGAGGAGAAAGCCACAAGTACAGGTACAGGGACAGGGACAGGGGCAGGGGCAGGGGAGCTCTCTGAAGACGAAGCAAAGTTCATGTCGTGGGAGGACGAACGTGCGGCGAAAAGGAAGAGGGTCGGCTCTGCGAAGACGTATGGGTCCTACGCAAAGAACATCCATACAAGTGCCACGAACATGGCGCATGAAGGATTCCAGTCTATACCGGACATCACGTCCCCGGCCAGATCCAGCCCAAGTGCTAAGACGAAGTTTCAAGCTCCCGCTGAGCTCAAATCTCCCCGCTTCGGTGGTGCAAGGACCAGGGGATTCGTCATGCCATCTGACAATGATCTCCCACACCGGCGGAAGACGCGCTCCAGAATCCAGGACCAGGATCACAGCTTCATACCACCACCAGACGATATTCTATCACCAAGATCCGCAACCGCCCACAGCGCAAAGTTCAAGCCCCTTCCAGACTCCACGACCTCATCCGCAACCACCACCGACCGCGCCTCGATCGTCTTCTCCCACCCTGATTCCCCTCCCCGCTCTCGTTCCCGCTCCGCATCCTCGCTCAAAACCGTCAATTCAATCGCCTCTCTCCTCCTGACCCAAGACGAAAAGGACGAGCTCATGAAAGACGACACCGACGCCCCGCCTCCCGACACCAACATCACCGACCCCTCCGTCCTCACAGCGCAATGCCCCCTCTGCTCCACCCCGGTCTCCAACAGCGCCCTCGAAGAATTC